GATATTCTCGACTAATTTTTAATCATTTTATGAGTATTCTATCCTTTTTTACTGTTTTTATTTTTTTGATTTTTTTCAAACGCATATACATTTTTTTAAGTTTTTTATGCAAGGACCGTTATAACATAAAACTTGCTCTTGTGAGTTTGCAAGAGATTGCCTTGCTAGAATTTTTAGGATTGTTTAATTTAATTATAACCAGCAAAACACAAGATTGCTTTACCAGTTTTTTTAATTATCGAACATAGAAGTGGATTTGTCAAAAGAGTCACGAAGGATGTCATTTGTGTACGTTGTGTTCTATAAAAATAATAATTAAAAAAAAACCCTAAAGGAAGCCATGCCACTTCTGGCAAGTGTCAACCGTGATAATGCCCTTTGTGATGCCTCGAGATACTAGTTTCTAGCTCAATCTCATGTAGCAAGCCTCCAAATTAAATTCGGCATAAGCCCATTTCTTCCTGTAGTCTTGAGATTTAACTAGTCTTCAATAAAAGGTCATAAAATCATTCCATGTGGCTCCATGCCAAGCCAGACAGAATACCATACAAAAACCAAAAGCATTCTTCAACCAGAACCTTGTTAGCCGCATATTTCCTTGGTCTCCATACTTTTGGAAGTTTAATGCCAAAAAACCCTTACGTGTCCGCTTCTTATTCACAAGCGCAAGAAACTGCATGGTGATCCCCTGCTCAAGATCACATGGTTTTAAGGGCCTTAATTTCTCCGTTTAAATGCAAGGCATCAATCCGTCCATCACCCACCTCTTAGCTAAAGTTGCTCGATATTGCACAGAAAACAGAAGTGAAGAAACATGCTGCCCATGTTGCCGAGACTTTTCTTTCCACCTCCTTTCTTTATCAAAGCAATGTCAGTGATTTGTGTTCTGTCATTAGGAAATGTTGGGCTCTCAGAGATTAGAGGAAAGCACATGCAATACTCCAAATTCTTGAATATTGGTGAAAAGAAGCCCATCGAAAAAAAGATTCGAGTCTCCAGTAGAACTGGCATGCTCATTGCTTACACGCCAGCATTTCTTGCCGGTGCTGCTTCGTTCGGGCTCTTCCCAAATGAGGATCTCAGGTTTTTGTTGGTCAAATCCACTCTAACCTTCCATTTCTTCAAAAGAATACTTGAGGTAATTGATCTGCCCCAACCCTCTCTCTCTGTCTCTAGCAATTTGGCAGTCTAGTAAAGAAGAAGCCATGAGGTAACCAGAAATTTTTTTTCTTCACCAGGTGCTATTCGTTCACAGATACAGTGGAGGGATGGAAGTTGAGTCTCTGATCCCTATCACTCTTAGTTATTTCACATCCTCTGTGTTTATCATCAATGCTCAACACCTAGCACAAGGACTCCCAGAGCCAGAAATTGATTTGAAGTATCCAGGGATTGCATTGTTTGTAGCAGGAACCAGTGGTAACTTCTACCACCATCGTCTCCTTTCAAAACTGAGAAGCAAGGATGACAAAGAATACAAGGTCCCCAAGGGAGGCTTATTTGACCTAGTGATTTGCCCTCACTATCTGTTCGAGATTCTTGGGTTCTTGGGGATCTCTCTCATAGCTCAAACATTGTATGCCCTTTCCTTCTTTGTTGGAACAACTCTTTACCTGGTGGGGAGGAGTTATGTCACTAGAAGATGGTACCTTTCACAGTTCAAAGACTTTTCCAAGGATGTAAAGGCTCTCATTCCTTCTGCATTTTAAACCTGTACAGAGACGAAAAACAAATTTGATGACTTTCCCAAGGATATCAACACAATCATTCCTTGCTTCTTTTTTTTTTTTAATGTTTCAAACATAGAATTGGAGTCATCAACATGTTTCACTCTGGAATTATGGCTCAGTGCTCCGTATCAAAAGGGTCACAAACCATGACTGTAAAACTCCATCCGGGGTATTATTTATTTATTTTTATTAAAATAAAATTATCGATGTTGATTCTCAAGTTTAGCCAAATCAATTGAGTTATAAATTAATCCGTCAGATTAATCATTTTTTAAAAAAAAACTAATATATTTTTTCGTTTAAATTAAAACCTATCATATTCTAAATTGTGGATTTTCCCTTTGCATGTGGAATGGCAGAAAACATATTTTTTCTTTTTATAGTTTAAGATTTAATTAATTAATATTATAATTTTTCATTATCATTGTCTTGAAGAAATGGGAAAAGTTAGCTTTTGCCTAATTAAAATCTTTTTTTTTTCAATTGAGATTTTTGTTTTCCCAATGAAGTTTTAGCCAACGAAGACCCTTTTTATTACCCTATACAGATTATCTTCTAATTCTGTTTGTAACTTTATTATTATTATTATTAACAATTGATTTACTTGTTAATTATATAGATTTGTTTCCATATGTTCCTCACTATATTTCTACTTATAACTTATAAAGATTGCTTATATTCATTCCAATTTATTAATAAATTTATTATTTTTCTTCACAACAATGATTATATATGCTTTCATGAACAATGTTCTAATATCATAGACTAGATACATTCCTTCTACATTTTTTTTTTTTGGTAGAAATACATGCCCTGTTAAGATTTTGTTGTAAATATTTCTATGCAGAAGTAATTTACTTTTGTAGCTTTGAATTATATATTTACTGCCTTATCTTTCGGCATCACACTTGTATATATTGCCTTCTAATAAATAATATGAGCCTTCCCTAGTCTAGGTCGTCGAATGTTCAGTGCCAAAGAGTCCATGCTAAAGTGTTCGGTTCTTCTTCAACAGCATAGCAAACTAGGGCATTGCTCTGTTCAAATTAAGCAAGCCCGTCCACCTTCCTCGAAATTGCAAAGAAAACTGAAGTGAATACAAATGGAGTCCACGTTGCTGAAACTCTTATTTCCATCTCCTTTCCTTATCAAAGCAATGTCTGCGGTTCCTGTTGCGACATTAGGATATGTTGGGCTATCAGAGGTAAGAGGAAAGCACATATAGTACTCCAAATTTTTGAATATTGGTGAAAAGAAGCCCGTCGAGAAGACGATTCAAGTCTCTAGTAGAACTGGCATGCTTATTGCTTACACACCAGCATTTCTTGCCGGCGCTGCTTCGTTCGGGCTCTTCCCAAATGATGATCTCAGGTTTTTGTTGGTCAAATCCACTCTAACCTTCCATTTCTTCAAAAGAATACTTGAGGTAATTGATCTCCCTCCTCTCTCTCTCTGTCACTAGCAATTTGGCAGCCTATTGAAGAAGATAAACCATGAAGTAACCAAGAAAATGTTTTTGTTCACCAGGTGCTTTTTGTTCACAGATACAGTGGAGGGATGGAAGTTGAGTCCGTGGGTCCTATCACTCTTAGTTATTTCACATCCTCTGTGTTTGTCATTTATGCTCAACTCCTAGCACAAGGACTCCCGGAGCCAGCTATTGATTTGATGTATCCAGGGCTTTTGTTGTTTCTAATAGGAATTAGCGGTAACTTCTACCACCACTGTCTGCTTTCCAAGCTCAGAAGCAAGGATGAAAAAGAATACAAGGTCCCCAAGGGAGGCTTATTTGACCTCGTGATTTGCCCTCACTATCTGTTCGAGATCCTTGGGATCTTGGGGATCTCTCTCACAGCTCAAACATTGTATGCCTTTTCTTTCTTTGTTGGAACAACTCTTTACCTGTCAGGGAGGAGTTATTCCACTAGAAGATGGTACCTATCACAGTTCAAAGATTTTCCCAAGGATATAAAAGCTCTCATTCCTTTACTATTTTGAACATGTAAAGGTTTAGAAGGAGAAGGAAGAAATTAGAATGAAAAATAAGAAATCAAAATATATTTTAATTTCTATACTGCATTTGGAATGATATTAAAAAATCAAAATATATTCCAAAGTTTATATTTTTTTTCTTAAGATGAAAAAACTTATGATTATAAAGAATATTCTACAACCGTGATAGAGTGATTTTAGCAATAGAATACTAGTAAATTAACAATAAAAGAAATGAACTATATAATTGTATTTAATTTATTCTTAAAAAAATGTTGTGTTTTCAATCCATTCTTCAGTCAGATTTTCACTATTAAAATTATATACGACCAAGTTGGATTTTAAATTTCCAAAACACGTTCTAATTATTTTTCCAAGGAAATGACAAATTTTTTTTTTTTTACAAAACTTGTAAGAATAATAAATCTCAGCTTATTCCTAATTGGATTCCCAGTTCGCCCTCTCTTACTCTATCTAGAGGTTTCATATGCACTCTCATCGAGCAATTGCTTCTCATTCTCATCAATCCATTACATCTAACCAAACAGTACCTAAGAACAGAAACCGAGCTACAACATACGTTAATACAAGTGAGCAGTTATCCTGCAATCTTTTCCATGAACGTAGACCGGCACTGGATGTTGCCAGGAAAACTTACCGTGGTCCAAGGGGCAGATTTTCTGTCTTTTATACCATCCAGTCCCCCGTCAGCAAACATTGATACAGAAACGGAGACTATGACAAAAGAAAGGCATTACGTTAATGGCGTAACTATTAGATTGCGATTGCTTGCCGAGCATTCCGACACTAACAGTGGTAACTGCATGACAATCTCATGCTTGCTGTGCCTTGCACAGCAATGGGGTGCAACCACTTGGCAACCTCAGAGTTTACCAGAACCCCAGTCCTTTAATTGGGGTAAAAACCTCCTGATTTAGCTCCCAGAAAATGCAAGTTCTGAATCAAGACCAAATGGACGAAATAACCACACATAAATTGGCAGTGGGATTATATCAAAACCATGAACGATTTTTCCCAAAAAAAGCATACAAGAATGCAAGGTATTACCCTTGTGAATTGACAATACCTGCACAGGTAAAACTAAAGTGTACAAATGGAAAAGGACTTTCAATCATAGCGTAAATGCAATTCCAGATTACTGGAGTAAACAAAGAAAGCCAAAACCATTTTTATAGGCATTTCAGTTGGAACGTGTGGCAACAAGGTCCATAGTAAAATCACAGAAAGCGGGGGGAAAAGCACCAGCTACAAATTTGCTACAAGAAAACCATACATGGAAGACGGGAGTCCCATATCCCAAAATCAGGACTTTTATGCTGAGATAACAGGTATTGAATTGAAAAAAGCAAGGCATTATAAGTTGCAGAAAACTTAATTTTAACAAGACTTGCAGGTTTGAACTGAACTTAAGACATGCAAAGCATTCTTACATATGACTCATAAATCCCGAATCCCAGTCTTGATAATCAAACTGTAAGCAAAAACAATGAGCACTCACTAGCTAGTACAGAACAAAACAGTCCTGATTGATTACCAGCAAAACTAGGATGACAATCTTGTACCAAAACAGCATGATGCCCATCAACGGAGTCTCCTAGCTTCTCTCTCAGACTCAAGCAAGGTAAGAATGTCACCTTCTCTAACAGGTCCCTTGACGTTCCTCATTATGAAACGGTTCTGGTCATCAATAAACTTGACTCTAACCTGAGTAACCTGTCCTCGAGATCCAGTCCTTCCCATAATTTTCACCACCACAGCATGCTTAATTTGACTATCCATTCTACACAAAAACAAACACAAGACAAACTCAGTCTCATCCAGTCAAAGCTTACATGTGGCTTAAATAGCAATCACCAAATCTCCAATTCAAATTGCTAAAAAACAAAGAAAACCAACTTGAGAAAACTCATCAGAGAAAAAAATAGGATCAGTTAATAAAGTTATCAACTTACAGTAACAACTGATACCAAACCCTAAGAAGCAAGAACTAACATACAATACATAATGAAAGAAGCCAATCAAATCATAAAAGAAGCTAAATTTGCAAAACATAGGATTATCAATTCCAAATAACTAAAATAAACAGAACCCACTTGAGAAAAAATACATAAAGAAAACCCACTTGACCAAAAAACCAGAATCACATAATAAAATTCTAAGCACAAAACAGAGGAACAAGAACAACAAAGACCAAACTTTACACGCAAATACTCTACTTTAACAAACAAGTCAATGGAACCCGAAAATGGGATTAATCAGAAACACAAAGTCCCTAACCCATTAGCCAAAGAAACTAAGAATCAGATCAAACTCTAAACATAAAAACGAAGAACCAAAACTGCAAAGACCAAACTTTTCAAGCTAAGCTAAACATGTACAGTATTAAAACAATAATCAAATATATAAAAGAAGCTAAGGTTTACGATACCTGAAGTAGCTAAGGATGGAGAGAGAGACGCGGCTGCTGCTGGGTTCTCACAATCAAAGCAATGAGAGAAACAAAAACCCTAGAGAGGCAAAGATGTCATACGGGCGTTCTTATATATACAGATGAGGGCATAATTGTCATTTAATTATCTTCAGCACAAAGACCATACTGAGCCCCCGATTCTCAATTAGATCTCCAAACAAAAATAATTCTCAACTGGGTCCTCCATCTATAAGACATTACTTAATCAACCCTCTTAGTATTTTTTTTTCCCTTTAAAATCATAAAAAACATTTAAAGAGAAAATTTTAAGTATTTATAAAGTGATTCTCATATAATTTTAAATTTCTATTTGGCTGATGTTTTAGGTTAGAAAAATAGTAACCTGTGTAGCATGAAAATAGAGATTTTTAATAACTATTTATTTGAGAAAATTTTATAATAAATTTATATTCTTTTGAAACAGAAGATATGGAAGAAAATGTTTTCTCGACTCTACTGTTCTAGTTTCTTCTATTTTTAAAGATCAATCAAACGCTATTTAAAAGAACTTAAAATTAAACTTTTTTTTTTAATTGTAACCATAGTTGTTAAACAGTTAGTTTTAAGATACATTACGTAGAATTTGTTCTGTGAAGAGAGTTGTTGCTTGCTTGAAATTGATCTTCAGTACTTATCCAATAGTGGCAATCCCCTGGTGAACACTTCTGTTTATCAGGCACCGATTTTTCCACTAAAATTCTTTAGTCGAGACCCACTTTTTTTTATTGTGCTGATTCTGTCTTCAGGTTTCCATTTGTCCGTAAGAATATTCAGTAGAACATTCATCCTTGGGCAGTACTTACAAATTTCTGTAAAAGCAAGCATCGTTCTGAGGCCTTCGAGTTTCCTTGTTTGGTAGATTTTGTTACCTGCATTTCTTTGCCTCCCCGACATTTTTATTCCCGGCCTGTCTCTTGACTTGTCAGAAATGTCTTTGCGTATTGCTAATGACGGTAACTTGAGCTTTCTGTCAAGCTTAGATCCGAAAGGGTCAAAAGGTACGGCAGAATTCCTTACCAAAAGAAAACTCAGAGCAGAAATGTCTCTAACGTCAAGAAATCAACCTAGCTTGGTCTAAGTGTCAAGATTTTGAGTACTAGGCAAACAAAGAACTTCAGCTTTATTTATTAAGCAGGTTATGCCTCATACATGATCATGGGATACTAGAAGAAAATCTCATAAAAAAGCAGAAACTAAATCAATCAAGAAAGAATAGTTTCCCTGTTAAGAAAGCCTAAAAGCCAGCCTTTAGCAATTAGCGAAAACCAAAGAGAAGCGAACGCGAGAGAGGAATCGAAGAAATAAATGGCTAAGAGGACACGCAGTGGGGGATCTGCTACTATCCAGTATGAGGATTTTCAACCCGATTATGCATGGAAGGAAGAAGAGGGGGCAAGTGTTCTGCGTATTCATCTTCCTGGTGAGCTTTACCATTTATTTTTAGGCTTAATAACCCGTTCCGAACGATTGTTTGCGATTAACTTCACAATGCTCTAAATCTTTCAGAATTGGGATGAGTGGAAGTTTTGAAGATGATGTTAAAGAGACATCATTTTTTTTATTATAATTTCTTTCCTGATTATGTAGACTTTCTTAAGGAGCAGTTGAAAATCACTTACGTGGGTTCCTCCCGAAACGTTCGAGTTACTGGAGAAAAACCACTTGCTTACAAACGATTCGATCAGACTTTTCCCGCTCCAGAAAATTGTGAGGTGACTAAAATTCAAGGCGCGTTCCGTGATGGAACTCTTTTGATTACAATTCCTAAAGCAACCAGCACACAACCTCACTCTGAAGAAGAAGCAAAGGTAACCAAAGAGGCTTCTCTGCCTTCAAAAGATGCCTTAGCAGAGAAGCCTATGACTTCTCAAGTCTCTCAAAAACCTGCAATGGAGCAAAAGGCACAGAAGGCTATGGAGGACACTGCAAGCTTTGCTAGCCCTCAAGAAGCCTTGAAAGATGAAAAGTCTCAAAAGGGGAAAGCAGAAGTCCCACCAAAAGTTGATACCATGAAGCAGAAAGATGAAAGCAGAAAGATGCCAGCAGAACCAGTCAAGGAGAAGACTTCGTTTGAACAAGAGGAAAGCATTAAAAAAACAACAGAATCTCTGACAACTGAAAGTGATGGAGGCTACAAGAAAAGGAAAGAATCACTGTTGACTAGTGAAAATGCTCCCCTTGAAACCTCGGAGAAAGACAAAGAAAAGAGTGCTAAATTTGCTGCTGCTGGTACCGAGGAGAAGCCGAAGCGGGATTTCAATATTGCAGGCAAAGTCAAGGACGTGAAGAATGGAGCAGCATCTGCTGCAAAGAATACCATGAAAGGACTTCGCACGATGGAGATAAGTGAAGAAAGGCAATCAATGGTGAATATGGGTGTGGCAGTCCTAGCGATTGTAGCACTTGGAGCTTTCATAGCTTACAGCTATCGATCACGTGAAACTTCCAAAGACTAATTCTTTCAATTTCATGCACTAAGTTGTATACGTATTTGTATTTTACTATAATAATATTCTGACCTCAAATAATTATATAAATCATTACCTTCACTAATTTTTTGTTTGCTCTTTCAAACCCTTAATCATAAACTGAGAATGTGTTTTCCCAGCCAAAGGCAGATAGGACTCCACAATTATATGAACAAGGTAGTGTAATCACTGCAGCCCAAGGAGAGAATCCCTCGTATGTTTGTAAAGTACAATAAAATCATACCCTATAGTCATGCATGACGAAAAGGTTAAAGCTCATTTGAAGGAGACCAGCAAAGAAATTTTTTGAAAAATAAATAACATCATTTTATATAAATTTTTGAAAAATATTCATTAAAATTAACCTAGATAAATCTTACTGGAGCTTAACTGAATTATCTGAGTCGAGGATTAGCATGCCAGTCACTGTATCAAGTTTTCAAATGATTTGAAGCTCAGATAGAATTCGATGATTTAGAATAGAAATTTTTATTTGGGCCAGAAATTTTTCACAAGCCTAGCCCAACAGAATAATCCTTAAATTTCTATAATTCAAGTGCATGTAATAGTTATATAAATGCAGTAAAAACATGTAAATAAAGAAAAAAAATGATTTGAAAAATTTATTCTAGAAATTTCAGGTAATTAATTTTTTTCTTGTATTTCTTAAAAAGATATATTCATTGTCAATGTTCAAGTGGAGGCAACCTTTGAAGAAAAAAAAATTAATTCAATACCACTGAATCACTTTATGCACACAAGAAATTCAATTTCATTAATGATTTTTTTTAATTATTTTTCATGATAATATTCTTTCAAAATTAGTTTGACCCAGATGACTATGTTTGTTCCCAGTACTTGCTATCACCCTCTAATTTAGAGGCCAAAATATTGAAACACACAAGAAGCACACATAACTATCAAAAGAATTTTGTAAATTAGAGTTCATGATTGACACAACTATGGTGATAATATTGAGTAATGGGCAACAGATTTAGGATACAATTGATTAATCTTGAACTTTTGACACTTAATTGAAATTTGCATATAGTTGGGGGATTTATTTGTTGTTATGAAAATACGATTAATTTCAAATGGGGAAAGTGCCTAGCTATCCCTTCTTCTTCTTTTTTATTGAAATATTTTTATAATTCATGGAAAACCTTGTATCTGCGCAGAAACTTTATGGAAAGCCTACAGGCCAAGGAGAGAATCCCTGTCCTAATTCATTGTGTATAGAGGAAGTAGAGGGACCAAAGTTAGAATAGACTCCACGTCAAGAAAACCCAAAACCTGTGTATATATGTATATATAGATAGATAGATCAATTGTGACAACATGTTCATTGAGAGAGATACGAGTAGATGAATTAGTTGGTAAATTGTTATGGCCGTACATCAACCCGTTCGATCGCGATCCCTTTTCGTACCGAAAACGGAAAGGATAGAGGAAGATGAAGCTCTTATATTGCGTGTTCATCTAGCTGGTAGGTTAAGAATATTTCTTGTTTTGTACTAAACCAGATTTTCCTACGGTAACAATTTGATTTTTGATCATGAACATTTCTCATTTAAACTGTGGTATTATTATTATTATTTTACAATATTTTGTAAGCTTATTTTCTGGTAACCTATGCACTATGCAGGTTTCTCTGAGAAGGATATAGATTGTAGGATAATTGCACCATCACATTATATCAGAGTATGTAGTGATCCTGCACTGAAAAACTGGCACTTCAATACAGTTTTTGAGAGCATTCCGGAGAAATTCAACCTCAATGAAGCAAAAACCAAGTTTGATGATGGAATTTTCACCATCAAAGTTCCAAAAGTAGTTTCTGCAGAGATGAGTGCTGGTGCTAGGGCATTAGAGGCCACGGCAAGACAAAAGGCTCCTAGCCTGCAAGAAAGTGATGCAAGCAAGTCAGGGTCTCAAAAAAGTGAAGATGTTGCTGCAAATCAACAAGCTCGGACAACCAGTGTAGATACAGAAATTACAGAAGCCAAAGATGTTGAAGGTGAAATTAAAGGCATGGATGGACAAGTATCTCAAAAGGGTCAAGATCAAATCCCTTCCAAAGCTAATTTTCCATTATTGCTTACCAGAAAGATGGAAATAGATTATCAAAGCACTGTAGGGCAAGTTGGTGATCAGAATGCCAATATTGAAAAGGACAAGGAGAAGAGTGCTGAAATTGTTGATCAAGAGAAAAAAGGGGAAGGAAAGGATATGGAGAGGAGAGCTGAGGGTGTTGATCACGTAAAGGAAGGGGAAGCAAAGGATATGGAGAATGCAACTTCTTCTTCTAGCAAGTCTGCGGACAACAATGTAACAACGGTTGTGACCGAAAGGCGATATATAATAGGGAAATACAGCATGATCTCATTGATTATGGCAATTGGAGCTTATGTATTCTATAACATCCATGGCCAATCTAGAAAGAAATAACCTGTAAAATGAATATGAATATGTCTGCACATCAGCAATATATATTGGATCAATTCAACAAGAATAGCACTAACTATTTAGTTTGATTCACTAACCTTTATATATCTGCACTATTCTTTACATAAACATGCAACAATGACTTGCGTGG